GGAAAGAGAGAAAATTTAGCATAGTTCTTACTTTTTCATCATAGCTTTGGAATCCTAGAACTTCAGGAGCCATGTATAATGGGGATCCACATACTGTCTCAGCATACTCACCCGGATTCACACTTCTACGGAAACATAAAATAAGAGGAAAAAGAAAAAGAAGAATGACAATGCCATTATTTGCTTGCTTGCTTGAAATTCATAAAGGACTTTGGAACAGAAAGATAATGAATAGAAGAGACTGCACCGCTATTTTCTTCCAAAAGAATTTACCTTGACAGACCAAAATCCGCTATTTTTAGTACCGGATCCTCCTCTGTGCCCGATAATAGAATGTTCTGATTAAATAATAAAGGAACAACGTCACTGTTTTTAAGCTTTTGCTAATCATTGGAACGATAATCTAAGAAAGCGTCACTGCCTACCTTTTGAAATCTGTGGTTTATACAGTTTCTTATAAATTGACCCCAAGTTGTCTTAGGCTTAAAATCATGAATAGCATAAGAATTTGCACAGAAAATCATCTTGATTACCTCGGGTTTCAAGTCCCTGTGAATGATGTGGTGTGAGTGCAGTATTTCCAAACCAGCCCCTGCAATAGTAAGATCGATTAAAGAAACAGGAGTGGCAATAAGAGAGCTACTAAACAGAAAATAAAGAAGCTACCAAGTTGTTGCATAAATCTTCTCGCAATTTGTTCTTGAACTCTCCCATGCTGACTAATGTAGGAAGCAAGATTCCCACCGGAACAATATTCCAGGACGAGGAAAATGCAATCTTTATCCTGGGGAGGACAACAACAATTAATTTCCTCTTGATACTAATGAATTCAGGAACATAATAAGTATAGATTTAGTTGTAACATATCCCTAAGCAACAAAGAACAAAATGCTGCTTTCTTCGATTCTTATTCTTTTCTCAAACGCTGCAAGGAACATTTCTAAAATAAACGTTGTCCTTGGCTCGTTGCCTCCCACCCCTTCTCCTCTCTCCTATTCCCTACATAATTTAATTTTCAAATTCACTTTTTATTTAATAAATTAATCTCTTGTTCAGTGCAATTGTCCCCGCAAAGTTGGAACTACAATCAGATGACTCTAGATAAAGTAGATCAATGGTGGCAGGAAAACCGCACTTTCTGCCCTGTACAACTTTAACAGCCTAAAGGCCTTATTCATTTGAGTTAGGAACTTGAGTTATAAAATGTAAATTCATATGGGATAAAATATTGTAACAGACAAAGTTGAATTTGAATTTTCATGAGAGAAAATACTATAGGAAAAACTTGAGTTGTAATTCGGATTAACGAGACCAACGGGCCTTTCACAAATGTGGTAAAAGGCGAAAGAACCAGGTCTGAATAATTCTTCAAAGGAAAACAAGTCAATTTTGGGATCAAAATATAATCACCACATGACATGAGACGTGACAAAGCTTTTCTACTATAACAATGCAAAACACAAACATCTTTTTTTTTTTTTTTTGGGTGCAAAACTAAACAATTTCATCACGATCACGAGATACTTTCAGATTATTATTTATTCGTCACTAGATACTTTCAGAATTTAATTAAAGTCGCAACTTTTGATACTAATCACGCCTTGATTGCACTCGTAAAATAATGAATCGGCAAATTAAAGCAAGAAAATAGGTAAGCCAAAAAAAACACAAAATCCCAACCCGAAAGACGTGGAAGAGGCGAACGATGTTGGGGTGGTTGACGGAGGAGAGGAAGTTGAGTTCGCAGTCCAAGCAGGTCCTGAGATGGCGATTGAGACGGGAGAGATGAACCTGCTTCACCGCCACAACTTGATCGCCATTGACGATGTGCTGGGCCTTCCACACTGTAGAGAAACACCCTCCTCCAAGCTTCGATTTTATCACATACTCTCTCACTATCAACGGTTTTTGCCTTGTCGTTTTTGATTCGACTTCCATGGATGGATTACACCGAGCTTTGAAAGTAACAGTGACCTCCCTTTTTTGGCAATGATGATGAATAGCGAGTTTGAATTATAGGTACATCTGTGGCTTTCTAGTCGCTCCACGTGTAATGAAGTGGCTTGGAATTGATTTTTTTAAGGTTTTAGAACATTAGAGTCCATTAGTTGGTTGATCTGAATTTTTAATTCGAGTTGAGATATAATTTTATATAAATATTTTTTACTGTAATAAAAAAATTATATATAACTGTTTATTAAAATTTTTTACTATAATAAAACTCAAATCGGTAAAATGAACGGGACATTAATTTTATAACGTATTCTACATATGTTGTTGTGTTAAAGACATCTTTAGAGTTTATTTTTTTAATTAAATAATAAAAAATTCATTTATAAAACCATTTAAATATTTATGAATTTATTTTAAAAATAAATGTGTTAAAAATAATAATTGACAAAAGAATTAAGTAAGAATACATTTAAAAAATATTACGAGTCTTCATTAGTTTTACAACTTATGGTGACGACTTAAATGCACCGTTTGATCTAACAGGCGCGCCTTGAATTATTTTATTTTAACCAAATAAAAATAAAATTAGAACGCATGTGAAAAAATTACCCTCATAAGAGTAAAATGATGAACAAATATTTTAAAAACACATAAAAATTATAATGTAAAAAAAATCACAAATAAAACAAAAATAAAAAAATATAAGCGGAGGGGCTGCCACGTGACGGCCCCATAAAAAAGAACGTCAACTCTTTTATGTATTGTTAGATTTAGGCATCGTTCATTTCACCGATTTGAGTTTTTAATTTCAATTTTGCTACAGTTAAAAGCTTTTACAAAAAGTCATATATAACTTTTTTCGCTACAATAAAAAGAACTCATATAAAATCACATCTGAGCTCAAATTGAAAACTCAAATCAACAAACTGAACGAGGCCTTATTGTGTTTAGCAAATTGTCTCGCAAACTTTTATTGTATGTTTGGTAGTGTAGACTCATAGTTTTAGTTATGCTATAATGTTTTTTTCTCATAAAAAATTTAAATTTTAAAATCATAATATACTAAATAGGTTCTTAATTTTGACAACTTACCCTAAATGTGTATAATTATTACAATTAGACACATTTAACTAATGACTATAGATAAAAAAAAAAAAAGAAGGTTCATTTAGAGCATATATTTTGGCCTTATTCATTTAACCGATTCGAGTTTTACTACAGTAAGAAGTTCTTATAAATAATCACATATAACTTTTTTGCTACAGTCTAAAGCTCTCACATAAAGTCACACCTTAACTCGAATTAAAAATTTGAATCAGCGAGCTAAATGGGCCAAAAAAATTTTAAAAAAAATTGAAAAATATATCCTTAAGAGTGCATGAGTCTAGACTTTTACATATTATTCTTGATAAATATTTATTTATTTGTATAATTATTAATTAAAGAGGTTATAAATCAAGAATAATAGATAAAAATTTTAATTAATATATTTTTAAAAGATATTTATTAAGATTATTTTATATTCAAATAAGTGATTTTAATTTATTAATAAAAAATTTATGAGGGAAAAAAAATTCAGATTATTTACAAGATAAAAAATACCGTAGCATATAACCTTATTCATGATTCGAATATACACGAAACAAGCCCTCAATTCTATAAAATCAATCTCAACCGTCAAACCACAACAAACACCGAAACATTACGGCGAAGCCGAAACCCTAACACTTCTTCCTCTCGGAGAAGGTAAAGAAAAAGAAGGGAAATAATAATAATAATAAAAAAGAGCCGTAGCATTCTGAGTTGAAACGCAAATTAGGGCTAGCTTTGGGACTACTGCTCCGGAATCTGAAAATGGCCAAGAGAGAGAAGCAAAGAGGAAAGCTTGATCGCGAATTTGTGGAAGAAGACGAACGAATTGGAAGCTCCGACAGGACTTCCTCGAAATCTGCCGCCGCGGAGAGCAGCAGCGACGACGAGGAGGCAAACGAGGATTTGAGCCTTAAAATCGTCGAGAAAGCTCTGTTGATGCGCGCCACCAGGTTGGTCGCCGACGAAAACGACAACGACAATGACAACGTTGTCGTTTCGGTCGGACCTAATGGAATTGGCGACGGCGCGAAGGAAGAAGAACAGGAAGTTGTCTTGCCTCGAAAGACGATAATTAACAAGGTGAAAAAGAAGAAGGTTAAGAAGGTTGAAGCTGAAGACCAGAATGTGAGTGCCTATCGCTTTTTCGCTTTTTAATTTTTGGGTTTTAAGGAAGTCGTGATTACTTTCAGATTTTATCAATGTTTTGGCCATTATTTGTTTTTATGCTTGATTCAGTATCGAATTGAGGCTAAAAGTTCGATTAGAATTTGGTTTTTAAGGATTTTTTTTTGGTTTAGATTAAATGAGCCGTTTAGTTCATAGATTTGAATAGAAATTCAAGTTTGTTTAAATTTTTGTAGAGGAAATACAGTAGTAAAGTGGTTTGGATGAAAACTTTTTGGTTGGAAGTTGAAACCTATGAACAAAAAAAGGTTTATAGATATTTTATTTGATTGGCTGTTTTGCCCTTCTGTTGCTTTAGGTTGTCGTTGTGAATCAAGAAGAGAAATCCGAAGAAGAGAAACTGGAAAAAGAGAAACCGGAAGCCGTTCAGGTGGTAGCTGAGGCTGCAGAGTTGAACCCAGTTGAGACAGAGAGTAACATTGTGATGCGTAAACTTCTCGTGAGTTGTTTGCTCTAAATGCCATTTTGAAAATCGAAATACGAATCCATATGAGAGGCTTAGTTTGGTGTATCTTTATTTATCTATTCTATAATTCAGCGTGGGCCAAGGTATTTTGATCCGCCGGATAGTAGTTGGGGCACCTGCTATAATTGTGGTGAAGAGGGGCACGCGGCTGTGAACTGTACTTCAGCTAGGCGGAGGAAGCCATGCTTCGTTTGTGGGAGTCTGGAGCACAATGCAAAGCAATGCCCAAAGGTTTGCTTGCTCTATAGTGCTTGATTAGGTTGCGTTGAATTTTTCATGCAGTTGTATTTATTAATTGCTCTTCTGATTTTTGTTTGACGTGTGCTGCTTGTTTCTTCTGACGATTGACTCATACATATTTTTAGACTTATTATTGTTGTTGTGGTGGTTTTTAAATCCACTAGAATGTGCATTTTGTTATCCTGATACTTGTTTTTAAATCCCCATAAATCCAATGGAAGATAAATTCTGCGATTCTTATACTTCTTCCCTGTGTTTACTGTATCTGCTTGTTTTTCTAGGGACAAGATTGCTTTATCTGCAAAAAGGGCGGACACCGTGCTAAAGACTGTCCGGATAAGTATAAGGCTAGCTTCTTAAGATCAAAAATATGTTTAAAGTGTGGAGACAGTGGGCATGATATGTTTTCATGCTGGAATGATTATCAACAAGATGATCTTAAGGTTGTTTACATGTTTATGTCTAAGTTCAAATCATTGATTTCAGCGAAATTGTAGGAAATATGCTATTAAATTTTTCGATTCCTCAATCTCTTTTTTCTTTGGTGGAGTTGTCTAAGCAGGAGATTCGTTGTTATGTGTGCAAGTGTGTTGGGCATTTATGCTGCATCAAGTATGTAGATTCTTGTCCAAAAGAAGTTTCTTGTTACAGATGTGGTCAAGTGGGACATACTGGTTTGGTAAGTGCTGCACAAAGTATTCATTCAGCCAAAAAAAAAAAAAGGTGCTGCACAAAGTGTTCATTGCATTAACTCTGGCTCTTTTATTTTCAAAGTAATTGACTCCTTATTCTCTGCAGTCATGCACAAGGCTAAATGGGGAAACCACAGGTACTGAGTCAGCCAACTCATGTTATAATTGTGGGGAAGAAGGTCATTTTGCTCGGGAGTGCACAAGTTCTGCCAAGGTTAGTATTAGCCTTTATGGGTTGCAGGAGTATCTTGTGCATGCAATGCTCTTCTGTGTCTTCTGGCTCTTTATAATCTCCTATTGTCTTCATTCGATTTCTTTCACTTTTGGTCACAACTGAAGTGAGGGCTTGATTTACCTTTGCAGATGAACAAGAGGAATCGGGAACCTTTCACCCCGATTTTGAGATCTCACCGTGAGCAGAAATATAATAAGGCAGTCAAGTCTGCCCCTCACGTTCTTGGTCAGGCTCGTAAAAAGAAGAAAACCAAACATGAAGGAAGTGACATTAAAACTCCTAAAAAGTCAAAACATAGAGGTGGGTGGATAATGGATGATCCTGAGGACTTCTCCTTTGATAATGGCAGAAAGAACAGTTGGAGGTCTCCGAAAACACCTTCTAGCAAGGGTCAAAGGATTTCTAGTTTGACTGGTGGTGGTCATATATCGACTTCTCATTCCTCTAAACGAACATGGAAGGCTCTTGGAACTCCGAATTCCCAAGGACCATTCCGTGGTTTTTATAATGATCATTATGACCATTATAGAGGTGGGAATAGAAGAAATTACGATGGATTGTAGGAGTTCTTATAAATTGACGAGGATAGTCATTGAGAAGAAACAGCCGCAAAAGGTTTACAATACACTGCTTTCATGCCTGGTTCATCAAGCCTTCTAATGTTGTAAGTATCTAAATTTAATAAAATAAGTATTTCTTTTGAAAAGGAAAGATGCGATTGTTTTTATTTATGATACAAGCTGTCCAAAGTATGCATGGGCATATGCCTGAGCGAGCTGTGAAAAATCTTCATTCCTTACCCGTGAAAGAGTTATTTATGGTTCATTTTGTGTTAATTTCTTTTGTGTCCCATCATTTTTGGCATGCCCTTGAAATTCTTACTTTTTGCTTGTGCGAGGAGTGTTTATGGCTATGTGCTTTGGTGTAGGTTAAGGGACTTTGTAATCTTGTTTTCTGTGTTTGTAAACGTGATTGTTATTTGATTTTGGCTATACTTAATTGGCTTTCTGCATGTTTCTGTACTTACAAACAAGCGCCCTACTGATACACTTTTTCAGTCAGCTTTTTTTTTTTTTTTTTTTTTTTTTTTTTGGGTCACCTTATTCCTCATGAGAATGAATTTTTTACTTTACAGTTTAAACATTTTTGTTGTTACTTTCTGTCATCTTGCTCTACCAAATATGCTGCCTACTTAAGCAATCAGAGAGTAGGGTTCTGTAAAGACATTCCTTGTTGTAATTGTTACAACGTGCATATGTTGAGCTGTTTCCTTCTATTTGGTTGGTCCTAAATCCAGTATAGGATTGTAGATGTGACTAGAGTCTAATCGTTGCTAGAATTGGCCCTGAAACTTTTCTTAATGTTTGTTTTTAGAGCGATCGAATTATAGTTGTTGGTTGCTTAGATTGTGTAGACAAGTTCATGAATTGCCCCCTACTGCTTGACTTTGAACTGAAGTGTTCTGTTGAGCATTTCGTGTGTTCTGGAAATGATTTACACCTGAATTAACTTTAAGGACTGGAGATTTATTTGGATTTTATTGGAATTTCATCATTGTTTGGCAAACTCTTGACATTCATTTTTAATTTTCGAGATGGGAAAAAAAAAACATTTGTAATTCTATATAGCTTGTGTTTCCATTTCTTGGTATGTAGGTTTTAATATCTATTAACTACTGTATTCGGATGAATTAACTTTGTTCTCTCTAAATCCAATAAAAAATGCAATTTTTGTGGGCATATTTACATGTATACAGAGAGGAGATCTGCTGTCTCCATATGCTGTCTCAGTTCCTGTCTCATTAGTAAACAACAGCCACGTCCCTGAAGGTAGTTTTCCTCTAAACCTTGTTTGGCAAAGCAAAAACTGATAATTAGAAAGAAACCCACAAGAATCCCAAATGACTCGAACTTTCACAAAAAAAAAAAAATGAACAGAAAAAAGAGAAAAGAAAACCCAAACGACTGGAGGGATGGTGATGTCGGCAATTCTTCAATTCCCTTCGTTAATGATGTTGCCCAAGACTTGGTGCGCTGATTTTGTGGCCTTTTCTTTTTGGTTCTTTTAGTTGGCTTTGCAACTTGTTTAGTCGGGTGACATCATCGCTGAAAAGACGACCTTGATAAAAAAAATTTTGAAGGCAGACATTGTGACTCCTTGCTAGGATATGCATTTCAGAATGTTCTATTTCTATCAAACTTCTTTTGATTAATATACTTTTCAAGGCCTCTAAACAAGACTTATTGGGAGTTTATCTTATGGACAATGTGCTAAGTTTTATGAACAGGACAGCTATTGAGACAGCTTAAAGGGACAGCAGATCTCACATCTATTTATACAGTAGTTTCAATCCAGGCCAGCATGTTGGTCAAAAGCACTACAGTAAGAGTTATTTGCTCTCAATTGCTCTTATTGTTCGAGTAGTGGGTTTTGGGCTTTATGTGGTGATCTAAATTCTTAGTTGGGAAATTTTAGGGAGAAAGAGGAAAATAGGTTAAGACTTGAGATAAATTAAAATTAATAGGTCAATAGTTTACATAAGTTAATAAATAGGTTAAATTACTGTTTACGTCCATAACTTGTCTGGTCATGAACTATAACTTGACAAGTTATTGTCCATAATTAACAATTTTTATCCATAACTTGTCTGGCTATGAACTATAACTTGACAAGTTTGTTCATAACTTATTTGGTTATGAACCATAACTTGACAAGTTATGGCCTATTAATTTCTATAACTAAAAGTTGGCCTATATACTTCCTTAAGCTTTTCATGTTGACCTATTTTTTACTATTTTTGTATAATTTTATGGCATTTAATTTTATAAGGGAAAAAGGGAGGGGAAAATAGCCCAAGAGTTTTTTGGAACAAATAATTATTTTTGGGCCACAATTTGAATTTTAGAGGATCAAATTCCAAAAAGTTTCTTTCAAATGGAGGTTATTTTGCAATTTTAAAAAACTTGGGCACCCAATTTAGAATTTGGACTACCATATAAAGCTCAAAATTCACTTCTCTTTCCGCCCCACTTCTCTTCAATGCTGATTTAAACGTTGCAAAAAAAAAAAAAAAAAATCCTAAAATTTGAGTAACTAAGAAAGCTAATCAAGTCAAGTTAAGTAGAGTATCTCTTGAAAGTACATGGGTCAGGATTTTTATTTTTTATTATTGATTTATAACTTTTTTAGTTAAATAATTACACTAATAAAAGGGTATTTATCAAGAGTAAAGGGTAAAGTTTAGACTCATGCACTCTCAAGAGTATATTCTTCATTTTTTCAGTTAATGCCTCGTTCATTTTACCAATTCGAGTTTTTAATTTTAAGTTTTTACAATAAAAGCACTCAGAAAATGTCACATTTAATTTTTTTTGCTATAATGAAAAACTATTAAAAAATGTAACATCTCAACTCGAATTAAAAACTCGAATCCGTAAAGTGAACGATGCCTAAGTAATTACGTTTAGACAAGTTTTACGATGGCTTGGGAAGCTGGGTGGTCACAAGCCACGTTTGAGAAGATAATATTTTAGAAACTTTAATATTTATTTAAGAACATTTTGAGAAAAAAAAAATGATTTAAAGGGCATTTTAGGGAAAAAAATATGTCAATAAGAAACACTTAAAATAACAATATCTAGAAAAAAAAAATCAAAACGCACATTTCCACCGAATATATTTTTTTGGTGGAAATCTCTTGGGGTTATTCACTCTCATATATGAGTCGGTTGCACTTCATCAAATGCTATGTTCGAGTTTCGAGCATATCAAATGTTTTGGTTGAAATATGTGTTTTGGTCTTTTTTTTTTTCTTTTTATCAATTCTTATATTTTTAGATGTCTCGTTTTTAAATATTATTATTTATGGTTGTTAATATTATTTTGTCAAATGTGTATTTTTGTAAATACCTTTTATAACGCCTCACTGAAATAATCATTTTCAAACACGTCTTTTTCTTGGAGTTCACTTAAATACTATTTTCTTATATGTGTCTTTTGGAGTTCACTGAAATCTTCTTCTTCTTCTTCTTCTTCTCCTTAAATATTTTTTTATTTTTTTAAATGTATCTTCATTAAAGTGAATTCTATGTGTTTTGTACATGTTCTTTATTTTTTTTTAAGTGTACCTTCATTAAACTAAATTTTATGTGTCTTGATATGTTCTTTTCACAACTCGAGCTGAGAACTTGAGTTATAAAGGGAATTTTATGTGAGAAAAAGAAAACACTATAACAGAAAAGTTTGAGGTGTGGTTTGAGTTGTGAAAAGAACACGTAACATGAAATTTTAAAAGCCCAGCCACTATTTGTTTACCTCATTCTGGAACTTTCTTCTTCCTCTTCCGTTCTTCTTTCTGTTAGATCAAGCGTAGATCATGTTTTTGCACATTGTTTTGTCGTTAACCATGCTAATGGATGTTATGACATGCCCTACATTGTTTTGGTGCTAAGCACCACAACTAATAAAGAGTTGGCATTTACAGAGTTGGTTCCCATGTGATCACACCCACTTTCTATTAGTGTGGTTCTGAGTGCTATTGGTGCCCCTAGGGTTGTTCTTGACATTCATTGAAATGCATTTGTATCTTCTTTTGGCATCAATTAAAAAATTTCTGAACTACTAAGTTTGAAGTGGAACTTGCTCCCCAGCCGAAATTACGATCAGGGCTAAGGAAATTTCCCATATTATATAATCATTTACTAAGCTTGAGTTTTATCCATTTATCATGTAAGCAAAATGTCCTCTTATTCTCATATGTGGAATTGTGGAGTTTGTTAATATGCGCTTGAATTTTGTCTTTATGACTTGTAGAACGTTGTTGAGTAAGAGTCAAGTTTTGTGAGTCAGAATGTGTTGGCAATTTGTGAATCAGAAAACGACATGTGTAGGACAATGGACTAATTTTTAAAACGTCAGCTATAAGATTTTTTATTCCTTGTAGAACGTTGTGCGGCATATTATTTCAAGTTAAGCATGCATAATAATGACGGAATAAGGAGATTTAGAAAGGCGGGTTATTCATTTTGTTTGAAGAGTCACTCGAGTCTTGGGACTTATCATATTTGTCGGTTACAAAATGTGCATTGCATACAAGCATTACTACATGATATTATTGTTTCATAAAAGTTTGAAAAATACTAAAGGAACAGTGATGATGTTAGCATTACCACTAATAGAAGATGAGTTCAATTGCATTGGGTTCACCGACGGTGCTCCCGAGCATTTTTCTAGAAGTTTTCCCAGAAAAGGGGGCAAAGATTGTAAAAGCTGAGCAGAAATGAGAGTAACATAGAAATGGATTAATAGCCGAATTCCCAAAATATGGTGGGTTTCTGGTTGGATATTCAGCCATGCAAAATAGCATAATCCTAAATGCAGATTTTGTTGCCTTCTTGTGAGGGTATTTCTATTTTCTAATATCTCTGGTGTGATTTGCATAATGATATTTGATGGGATAAACTCATCACACTTGGGTTTGTTTCTTACGTCATCTTTCACAGATTTGAAACTGACAAGGGTACTTCTCTCACTTCATCAGCGTTCGCGTTGCATGTGAAGAAAGACATAAAAGTTGGGAGCTGAGATAGTTTTTATACATCTCCCAGTGTTTCCATGCCTGTTTAATTCTTTATTTTTGGTACAACCCATGTTTATGTCGAGTTTATTTATTTTCTTTTTTTGAACAAAAATCAATGTTGATTTGCCTTTGTGGAAAAGGCATGCATTGTGATTTGGTTTTTCAATTACGCTGGCAATTCATAGCTTGATTTTTTCTAGTCACTTGCGGTGGGCAATTTCTGACACGACTTGCAAATGATTGGACAAAGAAGCATTGATCGTATCAGTGTGTGTTTGGGACTCAACTGAGGTACTTGCAAATCGCAATTTATGCCTTGAACATTAATACAAGGACATTTGTGGTCCGTTTGTTTGTTCACGTGTTTAAGTGATTTTGATTCTGAATTTAAATTTTATAAGAGAATCTATTGACAGGAAATTTTTTGTGAAAAAACTACTGTTACATAAAAACCAACTTATTATGGTCTTATTCATTTTTCTGGGATTTTGAATGCCAAGAAAAACTAGTTAAAAAATAAATAAAAAATTGCAGCACATCTCCTTCTATGGGAACTCATCGTTGTCGGGGGCAAGGTACTGCCACCGCTCGACTCGTCGACCCTGCTAAGCTCCCCCTCTTCCCCAAGATTTGTGGTTGCAACCCCGGCACCACTACCACAAACCAGTCTTCTCCAGTCTTCCCATGATGTCATTGAACAACCCTGGTCAACAACAATCTGTGAAGTCCCAACTTAATCGAGCCCTGTGCTCGGCTGTCACATGCCTCCAATCATTATTGCCATGCGAAGCTTGAACTTTTGCCAACTGAGCTTTTACCCAAGCGCAACCTCTACAACACTACTCATCTCCGCGCCTGGCCTTGGCCTTTGCCCATTCTCTCGCCGTCTAGATCATGCCCGCGTAGACCTGGCTTCACGGAGCAATAGAGAACATGATCTCATTTCATTCCCACGTTTTTTATCTTTTATTTTTTAAATTTTTTATTTATAAATTTAATATGTTTACTTTTTAATTTTTAAAATTTGTCGCTGTGTTTTGAATTGTTTTTGTTTTTGTTTTTCACGTTTTTTGAGAAAGAAAAAATGAAAACGGGAGAGAAACGAATGTTTGGCACAATTAAAGATAAAAAACGGAAATAAAAACGATTTTTTAGTTTAATGTAAAATGAGAGAAATGAAAAACGATTTTTAGTCATTTTTTATTTTTTTATTTTCGTTTTCTCCTCTCTCGAGCAGAGAGAGAGAGAGATTAATGGATTTTTTTATACTGAAAATAATCACTTGATAAAATTACCAAACGAATTTTTAAAAATGATTTCTATCTGATATTGGAAACGTTTTCATTTTTATTTTCATATGGAAAATAAAATCATTTTGAAACGAGTTTTAAACGCACCCGTTGTTTTTGCAACGTTTTTCTTAAAATATATATGAAATGATTAGAGTATTAAGGTAATAATTACCTGATTTACTATGATCCAATTAATTTAAAAATGTTCATAGATATTGATTTTACAAGAACAAATACAATGCATAACGAAACACAGTTAAATGACTGGATTGTGTTTTAACGAGGTGGAGGAGGGTGTTGCCAACACTGGTGTACTGGTGCTCTGTCTGCTCTTGTGTCAAATAATAGCGATGTTTTCACCTTGTAGGTTTTTTTTTTATTTTATGGTTTTGTTTTTGTTTCGGGTATGTTATAATGAAGACGGTCTCTCTACCTTTCGAGTTTATTTGTGGTCAGCGAAATATGTGTCCTGATAGTGTTTTGCTTCGGTTAGACTTGTGTTTATGCGGAG